GTTTTTTATTTATTTATTTTTTTGTGCAAGGCAGGGTAGTAGTATAAAACCACAGAGCGCAGACTCTGGAGTAAGAATCTCTGAGCTTAAATCCTGGCCTCTTGCTTGAGTGATCTCAGGCAAATCACTGAACGTGCCTGAGCTTCCTTTATCTTCCCTGTAAAACAGGGAAATGATGGTACTTCCACCCCACAGCTGTTTTAAGTATCCGGCAGTACTTAAGATGCCTGATCTGGAAGAAGAATTGTAAAAAGATGAGTTCAGAACTCTCAGTGTTAACCACAGCACGAAAGCTTCTATCTCCCAGCCGCAGCTTCAATGGGACCCAATCTGAAAGTCGCCGTAACTTGGAAAACCACTCAAACTCCTTTCATGCAATTTTATAGCAGATGTGAACCCGTTTAGCTGCACCGAGCCAGGCGATAAGTGAGAAGAGGAAGCCCCGTCTGTGTTTACAGCCTTTGACAAATGGGCTCTCGTCTCCTCCTGACAGATTCTCCCCCTGACTGATCCATCAGCCTCTCCTCTCATCACCTGAATCTCAGTCTTCGTAATAGTATTGAAATTCAGATGGATTTTGCACCACAAATAAAAATGAATTTAAATGCCTCAGTGCCCCAGCGGAAACACGGGTACTATAAATGTCAAATGCATGGGGTTTTGTGAGGCCGTACTCCAAGTGATGGGTTACCTCGCGTCACCTTTGCTAAATCTGCATTAGCTCCACAATGTTCACCTGCAGGAGGAAAACAAAACAAAACATAACAAAAACCTGTGCTCCTGCTTCCTATTAAAGGGTGAAAAACTCCACCAGCCCTTAGGATCTCCCTAGGACACTCTCTGGGACAATGTAAGCAATGACCAGGAACCCATCCAAGCAGAGGTACATTCAGAGGGGCTCTGCTAATTGGCGGGCTTGGAAGCAAAAGAAAAACATAAAACCACTCTCCAAGACACATTATGAATTCCACATAAACAGCCAGGCAAGGTTTTCCAAATGATAATTAGTTTCCTGTCAGCCTGAGAGAAAATAGGCTTCTGGGGTAAAGAAAAATAGAAAAACAGGAGAGGATAAAAGTTCTTTTATTCTATGAAAAGCCTCAGCTCGAGCCCAGACTGTGTGCAGACCAAGAAGAACGATTGTATTGCTCTTAAGATGAGGGCTCTCGGCCAGGCGCGGTGGCTCACACCTGTAATCCCAGCACTTTGGGAGGCTGAGGTGGGCAGATCACGAGGTCAGGAGTTCGAGATCATCCTGGCCAACATGGTAAAACCCCATCTCTACTAAGAATACAAAAATTAGCCAGGCATGGTGGTGAGCGCCTACAGTCCCAGATACTTGAGAGGCTGAGGTAGGAGAATCGTTTGAACCCAGGAGGCAGAGGATGCAGTGAGCTGAGATCATGATCACACCACTGCACTCCAATCTGGAGACAGAGGGAGACTTCATTTCCAAAAAAAGGCTCTCTTCCACTCTTGAAATTCACCATTTATCTTCTATCATGATGTCTGGTGTAAGATTCAGTTGGAAAATCTCTCATCTCAAGGTAAACGGCCCCACTGAATGCAAGAAAATGAGAATGAGGCACAAATCAAAGAGTCCCCACAGGACTCCACGGAAAACCTAAGATTTTATCTTTTCTAAAATTCTTCTATCAAGAAGATATTCAACAACATACATAGGTATAGATAAAGGTACACAAATATATCCTTCTATATGGAATATCTAGAATCGAAGTAGACAGAAAGCCAGGGGAGGTGAAAGCAAAACCAAAAATAATGAAAAATAATGTGATTCTTGGGAAGCCATTGCATCCTATAGGGATTCTGTGAAGCTCCCTTAACTAAAAAAACAAAACAAAACAAAACCAGGAAAAAAAAAAAAAAGCTTTAAAGAAAGCACCACCAGTTCTCTTTCAGAGCTCTCAACAGTCGTAAAAATCCACATGGGCCAAGAGGCTGCCACTTCAGACACAGGTTTACTTATTATTTTGGCACCTCTGTCATCTCTTGTCACTTCAATTCCACTTTATCAAATTACTGATTTTGCCAGAAGCATTTGGATTAAATGGAGAGGGACACGCACAGACACACGTGGGGGAGCAAGTGTCATGACTCCAGTGGTGAAATTTCCTAACTACACGTCCGTGTGGCAGAGGCACCAGAGTGCACTCCCAGAACCTGGTGGTGATCATTCCAGCTGCTGCAGCCACCGTCTCCCTGCGTGGCCTCACACCATATCACCAAGCAGAGAGGGAGGGGGACGGAGCTCTACTGCTGGGGTGAGGGGCACGCTGCCTCTGTGGGATCATTAGAGTTTGCTTCTTGACTTTTCAATTAAGAGAACTATCTCCAATATATAAAGCAACCTCCTAAAACCTCACCCCCAACCTCTTCTTAACAATAGTTAGAACCAGAGAAACTATAGCCTGAGTATAAGATTCACTGTATTACTGGGAATTTGAAGGAAGGAAAAAGAAGGAAGGAAGGAAGGAAGGTGAGAAAGAAGGAAGAAAAGGAGGAGGGAAAAGAGGGAAGGAAGAAAAGAAGGGAGGGAAGGGGAGGCGAGGGCAAGGGAGGGGAGGGGGAGGGGAGGGGAAGGGCGGGGGAAGGGAGGGAAGCGCAGGGGAGGGGAAGGAGGGCAGGGGAGGGAAGGGCAGAGGAGGGGAAGGGAGGGGAGGGGAGGGGGTAGAGGGGAGGGCAGGGGAGGGGAGGGGGTAGAGGGGAGGGCAGGGGAGGGGAGGGGAGGGGGTAGAGGGGAGGGTAGAGGAGAGGAGAGGAGGGGAGAGGAGAGGAGAGGAGTTACCTTTTTTAAAAGAGAGAATAAAAAGTCCTTAGAGAGTAAGACATTGAGAATTTTAAGTGGGTATTACTTTTCTTATCACTAAGATTCACCACCAATTAACTGCAACGAGCTGTTCGGAAATTTATCTATCAGTCATATGAGGTCAAGTTGAGAAAACAATGGGAAAACTCATCAGAAACAAGGTTTCATTTGACATTTTTGCCTCAATCCAACAATTTATGGAAAAACTAGAAGTGTGTGTGTGTGTGTGTGTGTCTGTGTGTGCATATTTTCCCCCTTTCTTGGGAAGAGCTGAAATCACATATGCACGGTATGACCATTAATGACTTTGTCCCACCAAGATGCATCACAGAGTAGCAGAGACCTGGGCAGTTGTCATCATCATGATGTCTTAACCACAGGCAGTTCGCACAGGTGCAGCAGAGCTTGGGTGGCTCTCCTTGCCCAGAGCTTACCCTGGCTGCTTATTTACCTTGTGCATGATGGAGCTCAGGTTGTTCTAACAGCATCACTTCCTATGTGATCTTGCAAGCGCTGTTGGCAGTTAAATTTTTAAAAAAGATACTGGACAAACATGCTGATGAATTCCATAAAAGTCCAAGGGAAACACAAATGACCTTTGGAAGCAGGTTGGGGAATGTGCTTTCTAAACACTGTGACATGAGTGGAATGATTGGGCTGGGCAGAACATTGGTGAAAGACTTTGGACACACGCTTCACCGAAGCAGCAATTCCATCTGTCCAACTCACAGAATATACACATGTATATACCAGCACACAAACACATGGTGAACGCAAACGTGAATTGAAATTTCTCTGCCTGCAAACTAGAGCAACACACAACTGAAAGCTGGGATCACGCAGATTGAATTTAACCTACTGTATCATTATTCTTCCCAGTGTGAGGAGATTAGCGCTCCTTAAAATAATGTGTGGCAACTGCTTTTTATTTAAAAGCAAATTTTTGTTTTGAGATGTCCTCCCCCACCTTATTAATCAGCAGACATGCCCAAGTCATCATACAATCAGAGCTGAAAACCTCTGCTTGAAATAATAACCCATTTGACAATCATGGTACACTTGAAAAGGGAAACATCTTTCAAACTTGTGGAACGATGTCAAAAGTAGCCAGGAGGTATATACTCTCAACTCGCTTATTTGACCTCTTTGGATCCAAGGCGTACACAGGGTAAAATTTGATCTCCTTGGATGTGCTTTGCTACAGAAATGTCTGTGAACTCTTGTCAATAAAAAGAGACTGTGAAAATACTAACAAACAATTGTCTAACACTTGCTTTTCCTGAGGGGATTCACACTAAGTGTAGCAAAGAAGATAAATGGGTGAAGGGACTCTAAATATGTAGAAAATGACATTGCCCCCTCCCCCTTAATCTCAAATAGGAAGCTGTGGCTCGTGTGAATGTGTCATGATAGAAATTGAGGGCAAGCTCTTTTTTTTTTTCCTTTTTGAGCTGGAGGCTCATTCTGTCACCCAGGCTGGAGTGCACTGGTGCAATTTCGGCTCACCGCAATCTCCGCCACCCAGGTTCAAGTGATTCTCCTGCCTCCGTCTCCCAAGTAGCTGGGATTACAGGCGCGTGCCACCACACCCGACTAATTTTTGCATTTTTAGTAGATACGGGGTTTCACCATGTTGGACAGGCTGGTCTCCAACTCCTGACCTCAGGTGATCCACCCACCTCTGCCTCCCAAAGTGTTGGGATTACAGGCATGAGCTACCACAACTGGCCGTGAACTCTTTTTCAAGTGTATGAGCCAGATATATAGGGACGCACCCTGGGAACCCCAATATTATATATTCTATAATGTATGTAATAATATAATCATACATATGATATACATAATAAACATCAACATCAATATTCAACTTCAATGGGACAAGAGTTAACAGATTAAGTATTTTCCTGAAAAGAAGGGTACGACTGAAAGAGAAATCAGCACCATATTTTTTATAAAAATTGCAATACGCACTCTTTATGAAGCCATCAGAAGTAACACAGATTGTAAAGGAGTAAAATGACAAGTATTTTTAAGTCTGATCATCTTTAAATATGTAATAGACCATGAATCACCTACAAACCATCATCGAGAGAGGCATGACTTAAACACTGGGGTTCCATTTACAGAGTTCTTGTTCTGTTTGAAACTCTAAAAATGAAAAATATTGACTCGCCTTTCTGTCTTCTATTTCCACGCAGGTATTGCAGTCTGCTTTGATATCCTGAGAAGAGAAGAAAAGAAAGGAAAGTGAGAGAAGGAACAGGAGTCAGACTTACGGTCAGAGAACATTCAGTGGTGTTGTTGAAATGCCCTTTAAAATAATAAAGAGCTCATGCTTCTAACAGTTCCTTCTCGAGTCATTGCTCTTTATAGTGCTTTTTAGAGGTATATGCTGCGGTGTTTGCATTGGAGACATATGGATGTCATAAGTAAGTTTTATTACATGCAGATGTGGAGTGTAGGCAAAGGCTATGGATCAGAGGCCATAGCAAAGAGGAACTGATGACTCATAAAATAATCTGCCCCCCATACAATTGTTCACATCAGCAGAGACTACCTTTAATATCTCTGCCATTCAAAATTGAGGATAGTCAGATATCTCTCACTTCAACACGAACTATTACCATCGATTTTTTATCCTTCCAACCATACAACCATCCATCCATCCATCCTCTATCCATCCATCCACCCAACAAGCCATGTCTATTCATCTAATCATCCATTCATCATTCATTCTGCATCCTTCCCCTATCCATCCACCCATCTATCCATTCATCCACCCACCCATCCTTCCTCTATCCATCCATCCATTCATCCTTCATCCATCCTCTATCCATCAATCATCTACTCACCTGCCCATCCACCCTCATTCATCTTTGCATCCATTCATCCATCCAGTCATCTACCCAGCCATCCCCATCTATCTGGTCATCCATCTATTCTGCATCCTTCTCCCATCCATCTACTCATCCATCCATCCACCCACCTATTCATCCATCCACCCATCCATCTACCCACCCATCCATCCATCTATCCATCCTCTATCCACTCTTCTATCCATCCTTCCTTCCTTCATGTATCCTCCATTCATCCCTCCACCCAGCCACTCATCCACCCACCCATCCATCTGTCCACTGATCCATCTACCATTCTACTTATTCACGCATTCATGTTTACTGCACACCTATTTTTTCTGCATTTTTTTCTTGTTGTCCTGGTATGAAAAGGTGAAACAAACTAATTAGACAAAATGACAGGCACAGTCCCACAAGCAATTGTGGCATTAATTTATTCATATGGAAGACTTTTTTTAGCATCTGTTGGCTGCTAGACCTTGTTCTAGGCATGGAGGACTGAACAATGTACAAGACACATGGCAGGCCCGTCCTGGTGATGTTTACATTCTTCTAAACAAGACAAGCATTAAACAATGCGTATCACTTAATGGTATTCCAGAAAGAATATGTACTATGAAGAAAAATAAGCCAAGGAGAGGGGATGGGAAATGCCAAGGATAGGGGAATAAGATGTTGATTTTTGTTGAAAAAGTGGAAATTGACCAAAGGCTTGAAGGAAGTTAGGGAGATGAGCCAAGTAGCCAACTGGGGAAGAATGTCCCAGGCAAAGGGAGAGCAAGCTCAAAGCCCCAAGGGGGAAATGCATTGGACAGAGCCAAGTAAGAGGAGGCCACTGTGGCTAGAGGGAAGCAAGAGAGGAAAATAAAGGGAGGAAAATAAAGGTGAATGAGATCACAGGAAGATGTTTACTTTTATTCTGAGAACAATGAGAAACCCCTCAGAGTTTTACTATCTTATTGTGATAAAATACACATATCATTAACAATTTTACCATTGTAGGTGCACAGTTCTGAGGCATTACCCATTCAAACTGCTATGCAACCATCACCACCCTCCATCTCCAGAATTTTTTCATTTTTCTACCTGTATCCATTAAACAGTAACTCCCCACTTTCCCCTCCCAGAGCCCCTAAAAACCACCTTCTGCTTTCTGTCTCTGTGGATTTTGCTATTCTAGACTCCGCTCATTGTATAAGTCTGCTAGGAATGCCATAAAAATACTAGAGACTAGGTGACTTCAACGACTGAAATTCATTTTCTTAGAGTTCTGGGGGTGGAAGTTCAAGGTCAGGGTCCTGTCGGGGTTCCTGGTGAGGCCTCTCTTCCTGGCTTGTAGCTGCCTCCTTCTCACGGTGCCTCACATAGCTGCTGCTCTGTACTTTTTCAGAGAGAGAGAGAGGAAGACAGATCTATGAGATATCTATCTATCTACCTTTCTTTCTTTTTTTCTGAGATGGAGTCTAGCTCTGTCGCCAGGCTGGAGTGCAGTGGCACAACCTTGACTCACTGCAACCTCCACCTCCCAGGTTCAAGTGATTCTTCTGTCTCACCCTCCTGAGTAGCTGGGACTACAGGCGCACACCACAACACCCAGCCAAATTTGTATTATTAGTAGAGATGGGATTTCACCATATTGGCCAGGATGCTCTCAATCTCTTGACCTCATGATCTGCCCACCTCACCCTCCCAAAGTGCTGGGATTACAGGTGCGAGCCACTGCACCTGGCCATCTTTCTTTTCTTATAAGACCACCAATCCTATTGGATTAAGACTCATGACGTCATTTAACCTGAATTACCTCCTTAGAGGCCTAATCTCCAAACGCAGTCACATTGGAAGTTACGATTTCAGTATATGAATTTTAGAGTTACACAATTGAGGCTGTGACACTTGTATAAGTGGAATCATACAACATTTGTCCTTCTGTGCCCGGCTTATTTCACTTAGCATAATGTCTTCAAGGTTCATCCATGTGGTAGCATGTGTTAGAATTTCATTCTTATTAAGGATGAATAACATTGCATTGTATGGAGAGACCACATTTTGTTTATCCATTCATAAGCACCATCTGTGGATAGACATTTGGGCTGTTTCCACCTTTTGGCTATTGTGAACGATGCTGCTATGAACATGGGTGTGTACGTATCTATTCAAGTCCCTGCTTTCAATTCTTTTGCGCGTATGCCCAGAAGTGAGATTGCCAAACCCATGGTAATTCAATGTTTCATTTTTTGAGGAACCACCCTACTATTTTCCATAGCAGGTGCACCATTTTACATCTCCACTAACAGTGCGCAAGGGTTCCAATCTGTCCACATCCTCAGCGGCACTTGTGGGTTTCACTCAGGCATTCTGGAGAGAGGACAGTCATGACCTGACTTCTATTTTAACAGAACAGGCAGTCAGGGGTTACAAATTTAAGTGGAGAGAGACTAGTTTGGGGGCTACCACAGGAGTCACAGGTGTGAGACGATGGTGGCTGGATGAGGATGTGGCAGGGGAAGGGGAGAGAAGTAGTCAGAGGCCAGACAGAATCAAAGGGACGTCTTTAAAGAGAGGATGTCGTGTGGGAGAGAAAGATGGTGGCTAGGGGCCACTGCAAGGTCTGTAGCCTGGCCATGCTCTCCATGGAGGCAGGGAGGGTATGGATGTGCAGTGTGGTATAGGGGGTTACAAACATTAGGGGCTCCAGGCTGGGCATGGTGGCTCACGTCTGTAATCCCAGCACTTTGGAAGACCGAGGCAGGTGGATCACCTGAGGTCGGGAGCTCGAGATCAGCCTGGCTAACATGGTGAAACTCCGTCTCTACTAAAAATACAAAATTAGCTGGGTGTGGTGGTACACGCCTGTAATCCCAGCTACTTGGGAGGCTGAGGCAGCAGAATTGCTTGAACCTGGCAGGCGGAGGTTGCAGCGAGCTGGGATCGTGCCATTGTACTTCAGCCTGGGCGACAAAGTCAGACTCCATTTCCAAAAAACAACCAACAAACCAACCACTTAAACAAACAAAAAACATTAGGGACTCCACTTTGGTTAACTCGATAGAAATGCTGTTTTTCTCACCAAGAAGTAGTGGGGTTCTCTCTGTGGATGCATCATGAGGAAAGGTTAATATGAGAAGCTGATGATTTATTAGTAAACCCAGTAAATTCTAGGTCCCTTTGAATCCAGAGTGGAACAAAGAGAGACAATATAATAAGGTGAAGATCTGTATAGCAAATGTCTTGTTTTATGTAGAACAGACTGTTTCCTATCAGTCAAGTGGGACTGAACCGGTGAGCAACGATTGAATACCTCCCTCTTTCGTGCCAGGTACTGTGCATGGTGTTTTTCTTACTGCCTCTAAATTACCAACAATCAAACAAAATGGGTATTCCTTAGTTACCTTGTGGTGTGATAATTGTGACTAGCCATTAGGTAACTGACCCTGAATCACACAATGAGGAAGCTTAAATCCGAAACCAGAAGCGGTCCCCAATCAGGTGCTTTCCCTTCCCTCCAGGTAATTTTATTTTCCTCAAGGTGGTTTGGTCAGCTAACGTAATTTAGGCCACAGGTTTCACTCTTTTTCCTTGCTTAGATGTGCTTCTCAAAGTGAGACTCTCCGACCAGCAGCATGAGCTGCTGTTAAAAATGCATATTCTTACAGTTATTATGGAAAACGGTGTGGAGGCTTCTCAAAAAATTAAAAATAGATGTACTGTATGATCCAGCAATCCCACTACTGAATATTCACTGAAAGGAAATGAAATCCATATGTCAAAGAGATCTCTGCACTTCCTTCTTCATTGCAGCATTATTCACAAGAGCTAAGAAAGGGAATCAAACTGAATATTCCACATGTTTACAGCAGCACAATTCACAACTGCAAAAATATGGAACCAGCCCAAATGCCCATCAATCAATCAACAAGTGGGTAAAGAAAGTGTGGTATATTGAATGCTATATGTGTGTGTGTGTATATATATATATGAATACAATATATAATATACTATACATATAAAACAGAATACTTTCCCAATACACACACACACACACACACACACACACACACACACACACAATGGAATACTATATATTATATATATGTAATAAAATACTTCCCCAATATATATATAAAGGAATATTACTCAGCCATAAAAATGAATGAAATAATGGCATTCACAGCCACCTGGATGGAACTGGAGACCATTATTCTAAGTGAAATAAGACAGGAATGGAAAATGGAACGATGCATGTTCTCAGTCATAAGTGGGAGCTAAGCGATGAGGAAGCAAAGGCATAAGAATGATACAGTGGGCTTTGGGGACTCAGGGGAAAGGTTGGGGAGTGGTGAGGGGTAAAAGGCTATATATCGTGTAC